CTGATTAAAAAGCTAAGAAAAGTGAAACATTTAACATCTCTTTAAAGAACGATAGGACCTAAAATTTTTTATGAACCAAAATTTCATATAAATCGTCAAATTGAAATTTGCGAATTGTGTTAAGTATTGTAAGTATAATTTTACTGATTCGATAAAATAATTTTGATTTCGATATATATTTAAAACGAAATTTTAATCACATTGGATCATAATATGATCATGTATAACAATATTATGATAAATAGAAAAATATCATGATGAAATATTTTGACGGTATTTAATCATAATATGATATTTTAAAATTGTTACAATAACGATAATATGTTTAGACTACTATCATAATTTTAACCATATAACGTTGCTCTTAGATCATGGTTAACACTGCGTGCTCTTACAGAGAATTATATCATTGTCAATAAATCGTTTAAAAACCGAAAATAAAAGTATTCAGATATATGCATTTCACAAAAATGGAAAATGGAATTCGGAATTAGTTGATAATTGACCCAAGTTGATAAAGACCCTCTTCAAAAAATCTTCCGGATGTTCATATTTTGGTTTTAAACGTTTAAAAACCGAAAATAAAAGCGTTAATATATATGCATTTCACAAAAATGGAAAATGGAATTCGGAATTAGTTGATAATTGACCCAAGTTGATAAAGACCCTCTTCAAAAAATCTTCCGGATGTTCATATTTTGGTTTTAAACGTTTAAAAACCGAAAATAAAAGCGTTAATATATATGCATTTCACAAAAATGGAAAATGGAATTCGGAATTAGTTGATAATTGACCCAAGTTGATAAAGACCCTCTTCAAAAAATCTTCCGGATGTTCATATTTTGGTTTTAAATGTTATAAATTCATAAATGCGTTTTTCATTTAAGAAAAAAGTTCGTGTTCACCGAACTTTGAAAACCGAACAAAGTTCGGTTTCGGCCGAACTTTCAAATTTACCGAAGTTCGGGTTCGGTATTCGGTACCGAACGAAATTTTGAGTTCGGTCGGACTCTACAACAATGTCTATAATTTTTAACTAGAAAATCACACATTTAGCACTATGACATGGCCACCACACGATGAGTGCAACCTCATAGCATTGCTACTGATTGTTTGACAAAAAGTCAATAAGTTTAAGACATTAAAAGAGAAACGAATAGTGTGTAAAAAATTTAGAAATTAATTGGCTTATTTTCCATGTACAAACAAAAATTATTCTAGAATGCAAGAAAAAGAAAATTTAATTTTATACAAAGAATTTACAATGACATTGACTCTTTTATTTTAGTGGGTGCAACATTTAAAGGGAATATTGTAAAAAAAAATGGATTTTATTCCCTTTTTCTTGCAGCAAAAAAACTTCGATTTACGCAATTCCACCCTAGTTAAAAACTAAACTCTACATTTGTGTTTAAATTAACCTTGTTAGTTCTAAAGCTTGTAAAGGAAGACAATAGAAAAATACATTTCTATATTATATGTAGTAAAAAATTAAGATATTTTTCTTGGATTTGTAAATTTTTTATTAAATTTCTACGAACCTTAAAGTTTTTAATTTAAATGTTTAATATATACACAAAATCACCATATTATTTTCTTTACTTTCCAAAAGACTTTAACCTTGATTATCTATCCATTCATCCACTGAAACCATGTCTTATTAATTAACCGTTAAATAAAATAAATAATTAAGTTAATAATTTGTTTAAGACATAATAAATAAAACAAATAAATACTTTTAATCTTCTACATTTTCCACTACTAAATCCAGATGTATTCATATTGCTAAAGTTTAATAAAATTATTTAGCTAAATAAAACGTCGTTTCTAGATTTTCAATTATTTACACAATTGTTTAGCAGTTGTGATAGATCATAAAGAAAAAATGTACAAAGTTATACTAAAATCAAAACAAGTTAATGCCTTATGGAGATGAAACGATATTATTTGTAGAAATTTCGGAAAAAAAGTTTTTTTTTTTAAATTTTTACGCATCTATTAGGCTAGCCCAGTTTGTATGCATCTAAAGTTTAGATCTTAAATAATGAAACTATGTCCGTGTTTAGCGACAGTCCGTGTGTTTGTTTTAAACAAAGATATCTTCGTTATCTAAATCTGCCATAATTCTATCCAGAAGTTTGCTATCAGCAAAATTGGTTCATAATAACAGAGATATGAGCAAAATTCCGAAAAAATTGCACAAACCAATAAATTTTTAACCCAGATACCAAAGTATACTTTTCTAAAGGATTGTCCTCAGAATTTGTTCCTCACATCAGGTTTTCCAGATATCGTGCCATGAACGTAAAATCGTTTATGGTCATATTTGTAATGAAATCGCACTATCTATTTACATACATATAACACATTTATTTCAATTATATATACATATGTATGTATATAATAAATTGCCCCACTGTGCTTAAAGCTTAACGTTATGTTATCCCTTTTAATGTTCATAAATGATGAGAAGGCGAGCCCCTGAGTAGACCTGAGAGATTTGTGGAAATTATCTGTTTCCTCATTACGTTCCTCATTGTAAATAATAAAAAAAATTTACAATCCACATTTGTTTACGAAATATTTATGAATTTATTTACAAAGGTAAATATTTATTAACAACAATCTGTTATTAAGGCTACAGTTACTTTTGTAACTGGTGGACTCAATACAATACAAACACATCATCATATTACATTATACAGGGCAATTAATTTAACTAAATGGATACAAATAAAAGTGATATTCGACTATGCCGAATTTTATATACCCATCATCATCGATATTAATATAAACATGGGGGACTTGGAGTAATTATGCATTTTTTCTATTTTCAATATCAAGATCTTAAGCTCTCGTTTGGGCCCTATCACGTTTTCAACTTACTGATGGATATGGCTAGATCGTCTTAGAATTTTAATCATCGATATTAATATAAACATGGGGGACATGGAGTAATTATGCATTTTTTCTATTTTCAATATCAAGATCTTAAGCTCTCGTTTGGGCCCTATCACGTTTTCAACTTACTGATAGATATGGCTTGATCGTCTTAGAATTTTTTGTGGTTTACGACCAATGTTTTGTTGTGTTACAAACGGAATAGATCTATTTTGGTGATAGGTTAAAAACAAATATGTAACTCATCATATCGATCACATACATAAAAACATTCCTGCAGTTCCAGGTGACTGTTCTGAAGCTGCAAATTTGATATTAATTCTAGCAGATTAGATAACTGCTGCTACACGTCAAACGCTAGTTTTAATGAGTTAAATAGTAGTTAATGAAAAATAAAAAAATAGAAATTTTTAAGAATTTTTTAGTGCAAATTTTCCATTTGTTAATAAAATATTGGTCGGTTGGTCACGGATAATACATGTGTACTTTTTTTTATGAATTAATATTTGTATTATAATTTTGTGTGAAATTTAAAAGCAGAGCAAATAGTATAAATTATATACTAAATAATAAACAACATACAAACAACAACAAAATAGTATCAATAATAATAAAAACAAATTATTAATTTCTTCACATAAATGTTAATTATTACATAAATAATAAATAATATGTACATTAAAGTTTTCATCTCGTTTCTTACGATAAACAAATAGAATAAATAAATTAAAATGTTTTAAATATTTTTATAAAAATCGTTGTAAAAATATTTAAAACATGTGTATTTGTTTTTAACCAAGTTGTTCATATAAATAATGTTTATAAATCTTTAACCACAAAAATAAATAAATGGTAAATAAATACTTAAATATTAAATTGCAAATTTTAGCCGGCGGTTTGTCGCATCTTGTATACATCGTTTAAACATGTGCAGTGATTAAAAAAAATGTGTATGTAAACATGTAATAATTTACATCGTAATGTGTTACGTTAGGGTTTGCAACTCAACGGTCCCGAACTACATACATATTTATCTTACCACTTAGGACCACCGACTGAACAGTTGACTAGCTATTTTAATATGTTTGTCCTACGAGGAAGTCAATCATAAGTAAGCTAGTCCAAGGAAGTTAATGTACAGCAATGAACATTTGTGCTGAAGCTTATTTTTAAGTGTCCACTTTCAGATTACTTGGAGAAAATAAAATGACGACTGTCTTTACTCTCGTTTACAAAGAGTACATTCATGACAAAAGACAAATTAGGGTCGTTTGGATGCATTGGCTCTTTGTCGAACTGCTGGCAAATTATTGATAATCTTGTAAAATTTTGAGTCATACACCCACCTTCTTGTATACCTCTCAGTTCTGAATCTTTTTCTGAGTCGATTAAGGTATGTCCGTCCGTCTGTTTGTGTGTGAAACTTGTGCGCATGATACAGGTCGCAATTTTCAAGATAATTTTATGAAATGGCACATAATTTTCTCTTGGTCCAAACCTATTAAAAATGGTTGAAATCGGTCCATTATTTCACCTAGCCCCCATACAACTCTTGGGGTAATAAACGTTAAATGTTCTAGTATCTCGGCACAACTTAGTTTTTTATAAGTCTAAATGTTACTACCGATTTTCTTTAAGATCGGGTCTCATTGGCCCTATACCCCTTACAGTCCCATTTAGAAAATTGCTTACTTATAAAGACTAGTATCATGATAAAATTCTGCATAAATTACTTTAATTCAAACGTAAATTCCTCTATAGGTTTATGTTTATACGGGGATAACCCCTCATTTACAAAATCACCTTTTTTGTCAACAAATTGTTAAAATATTTCGAAATTAAGGTAAAAACGACTTAAATGTTTCTTTATTTAAAAAAAAATAATTTTTTCATACAACTCACTGATGTACAGTATCATATGGTCGGCCATGACCAACTATATATTCTTACCTGTTTTATTTTATTGGAATTTCCAAAAAGCTGAACATAACTACAATTACTCGTAGTTATAGTTAATAGAATAAATTATAAATATAAATATAATTTTAAGCGATTATAGCCAAAATTCAATAATTTATTTTTTAATTTATAATTTCTAGAAACTATCAACATTGCGTCCTACAACAATATAAATAACAACAACACCTCAAGTATTATTAACAATAACAACAACAACAATAATACCAGTAGCGATAGTGTTAGCCCCAACACCAATAAAACAACTAGTTCCTCAAACCCTTTTAAAATGGGTCGTTGGGGCAGACAGAGTCCGGTGCCCGAACCAGAACCGCCACCACCAGCATCACCACCACCACTACCACCACGTCACAATAACACATTTATGCGTCAGTCTAGTTTTACGAAAATTGGTAACATGCTAAATACGGCCATAAATATGAACGGCGCGAAGAAACCTCAAAGTAAGTATTTTACTTTTAATTTATTTTCTTAAATTTTGTCATACATTTTTTATATTTATCATGTTACTCTATTTGCTATATGTATTTTGTATGAGTGTGTATGTACATATGTAATTATTATTATTTGTTTAATCAACAATTTCCTATAATTAACACCTGTAGATTTGTTTTTTTCTTTAATCAGCAGTCTAATGAAGTCGACATAATAATAATTGCGATTAAATATGTAAATGTAGTGGAATGTGAATTTGTATTCCCTTCACTATCGTGTGAAGGGTACATGTAAGATACACTTAAGATGTACTTTCGAGAATTTTGACTTTTAAAATCGGCAAAAAATTACTCTATTCCAGAATTTTTAATAAGATTTTTTTAAAGTTAAAAAATTTTAATTTAAAGAATAAAATAAAAAAATAAGTAAGAATGTATAGTCGGACCTTGTCGATCATATGATACACTACACTACTGAGTATTATGTAAAAATGTGAATTATTTTTTATAATAAGGCATTTAAGTTGTTTTTTTTTTGCCTTAATTCCGAAATATTTTAACAATTTGTTGACAACAAAGAGATTTTCTGAAAGAGGGGATATTCGGGGCAAGGGTAATTATAAATTTCCAATTGAATTTCAGAAATGTTGAATAGAATTTTCGCTTCTAAAATGGAAAGTTCTCAAATAGAATTGGATATGGTGCAGCAAGCATGGAAAATTCAGTACTTAAGTACCTACCTTTTGATATCAAAAAACACCACCATACAGAGTCTAGTTTATAGTCTAGTTTATAGTCTAGTCTATAGTCTAGTCTATAGTCTAGTCTATAGTCTAGGACAAAATGTATTAAAATCTGTGATCACTTTTACTTCTTAACAAAACTAGATTTATTAGTGAAAACATAAAAGTCCATTTTCTGGCTAAACGGAAGGCCCTAGGACAAAAAGGATTAAAATCTGTGATCACTCTTACATCTTACCAAAATTTGATTTATTAGTGAAAACATAAAAGTCCATTTTCTGGCTAAACGGAAGGCCCTAGGACAAAAACGATTAAAATCTGTGATCACTCTTACTTCTTACCAAAATTCGATTTATTAGTGAAAACATAAAAGTCCATTTTCTGGCTAAACGGAAGGCCCTAGGACAAAAACGATTAAAATCTGTGATCACTCTTACTTCTTACCAAAATTCGATTTTTTAGTGAAAACATAAAAGTCCATTTTCTGGCTAAACGGAAGGCCCTATGACAAAAAGGATTCAAATCTGTGATCACTCTTACTTCTTACCAAAATTCGATTTATTAGTGAAAACATAAAAGTCCATTTTCTGGCTAAACGGAAGGCCCTAAGACAAAATCTATTAAAATCTGTGATCACTCTTACTTCTTAACAAAATTAGATTTATTAGTGAAAACATAAAAGTCCATTTTATGGCTAAACGGAAGGCCCTACGGCAAAAACGTTTAAAATCTGTGATCACTCTTACTTCTTACAAAATTTCAATTTATTAGTGAAAACATAAAAGTCCATTTTCTGGCTAAACGGAAGGCCCTAGGACAAAAAGGATTAAAATCTGTGATCACTCTTACATCTTACCAAAATTCGATTTATTAGTGAAAACATAAAAGTCCATTTTCTGGCTAAACGGAAGGCCCTAGGACAAAAAGGATTAAAATCTGTGATCACTCTTACTTCTTACCATTACGATTTATAAGTGAAAACATAAAAGTATATTTTCTGGCTAAACTGAACACCCTAGGGTAAAAAGGATTAAAATCTGTGCTCACTCTTACTTTTTATCAAAATTCGATTTATTAGTGAAAACATAAAAGTCCATTTTCTGGCTAAACGGAAGGCTCTAGGGCAAAAACGTTTAAAATCTGTGATCACTCTTACTTCTTACCAAAATTCGATTTTTTAGTGAAAACATAAAGATCCATTTTCTGGCTAAACGGAAGGCCCTACGGCAAAAAGGATTAAAATCTGTGATCACTCCTACTTTTTACCAAAATTCGATTTTTTAGTGAAAACATAAAAGTCCATTTTCTGGCTAAACGGAAAGCCCTACGGCAAAAAACGATTAAAATCTGTGATCAGTCTTACTTCTTACTAAAATTTGATTTTTTAGTGAAAACATAAAGGTCCATTTTCTGGCTAAACGGAAGGCCCTAGGGCAAAAAGGATTAAAATCTGTGATCACTCTTACTTTTTATCAAAATTTTATTTTTAGTGAAAACATAAAAGTCCATTTTCTGGCTAAACGGAAGGCCCTAGGACAAAAAGGATTAAAATCTGTGATCACTCTTACATCTTACCAAAATTTGATTTATTAGTGAAAACATAAAAGTCCATTTTCTGGCTAAACGGAAGGCTCTAGGGCAAAAACGATTAAAATCTGTGATCACTCTTACTTCTTACCAAAATTCGATTTATTAGTGAAAACATAAAAGTCCATTTTCTGGCTAAACGGAAGGCCCTAGGACAAAAACGATTAATATCTGTGATCACTCTTACTTCTTACCAAAATTCGATTTTTTAGTGAAAACATAAAAGTCCATTTTCTGGCTAAACGGAAGGCCCTATGACAAAAAGGATTAAAATCTGTGATCACTCTTACTTCTTACCAAAATTCGATTTATTAGTGAAAACATAAAAGTCCATTTTCTGGCTAAACGGAAGGCCCTAAGACAAAATCTATTAAAATCTGTGATCACTCTTACTTCTTAACAAAATTAGATTTATTAGTGAAAACATAAAAGTCCATTTTATGGCTAAACGGAAGGCCCTACGGCAAAAACGTTTAAAATCTGTGATCACTCTTACTTCTTACAAAATTTCGATTTATTAGTGAAAACATAAAAGTCCATTTTCTGGCTAAACGGAAGGCCCTAGGACAAAAAGGATTAAAATCTGTGATCACTCTTACATCTTACCAAAATTCGATTTATTAGTGAAAACATAAAAGTCCATTTTCTGGCTAAACGGAAGGCCCTAGGACAAAAAGGATTAAAATCTGTGATCACTCTTACTTCTTACCAAAATTCGATTTATAAGTGAAAACATAAAAGTATATTTTCTGGCTAAACTGAAGGCCCTAGGGTAAAAAGGATTAAAATCTGTGCTCACTCTTACTTTTTATCAAAATTCGATTTATTAGTGAAAACATAAAAGTCCATTTTCTGGCTAAACGGAAGGCTCTAGGGCAAAAACGTTTAAAATCTGTGATCACTCTTACTTCTTACCAAAATTCGATTTTTTAGTGAAAACATAAAAGTCCATTTTCTGGCTAAACGGAAGGCCCTACGGCAAAAAGGATTAAAATCTGTGATCACTCCTACTTTTTACCAAAATTCGATTTTTTAGTGAAAACATAAAAGTCCATTTTCTGGCTAAACGGAAGGCCCTACGGCAAAAACGATTAAAATCTGTGATCAGTCTTACTTCTTACTAAAATTTGATTTTTTAGTGAAAACATAAAGGTCCATTTTCTGGCTAAACGGAAGGCCCTAGGGCAAAAAGGATTAAAATCTGTGATCACTCTTACTTTTTATCAAAATTTTATTTTTTAGTGAAAACATAAAAGTCCATTTTCTGGCTAAACGGAAGGCCCTAGGGCAAAAAGGATTAAAATCTGTGATCACTCTTACTTCTTTCCAAAATTTGATTTTTTAGTGAAAACATAAAAGTCCATTTTCTGGCTAAACGGAAGGCTCTAGGGCAAAAACGATTAAAATCTGTGATCACTCTTACTTCTTAGCAAAATTCAATTTATTAGTGAAAACATAAAAGTCCATTTTCTGGCTAAACGGAAGGCCCTAGGGCAAAAAGGATTAAAATCTGTGATCACTCTTACTTCTTACCAAAATTAGATTTGTTAGTGAAAACATAAAAGTCCATTTTCTGGCTAAACGGAAGGCCCTAGGGCAAAAAGGATTAAAATCTGTGATCACTCTTACTTCTTACTAAAATTCGATTTATTAGTGAAAACATAAAAGTCCATTTTCTGGCTAAACGGAAGGCCCTAGGGCAAAAAGGATTAAAATCTGTGATCACTCTTACTTCTTACCAAAATTAGATTAGTTAGTGAAAACATAAACGTCCATTTTCTGGCTAAACTGAAGGCCCTAGGGCAAAAAGGATTAAAATCTGTGATCACTCTTACTTCTTACCAAAATTAGATTAGTTAGTGAAAACATAAAAGTCCATTTTCTGGCTAAACGGAAGGCCCTAGGGCAAAAAGGATTAAAATCTGTGATCACTCTTACTTCTTAGCAAAATTCGATTTATTAGTGAAAACATAAACGTCCATTTTCTGGCTAAACGGAAGGCCCTAGGACAAAAAGGATTAAAATCTGTGATCACTCTTACATCTTACCAAAATTCGATTTATTAGTGAAAACATAAAAGTCCATTTTCTGGCTAAGCGGAAGGCCCTAGGGCAAAAAGGATTAAAATCTGTGATCACTCTTACTTCTTACTAAAATTCAATTTATTAGTGAAAACATAAAAGTCCATTTTCTGGCTAAACGGAAGGCCCTAGGGCAAAAAGGATTAAAATCTGTGATCACTCTTACTTCTTACTAAAATTCAATTTATTAGTGAAAACATAAAAGTCCATTTTCTGGCTAAACGGAAGGCCCTAGGACAAAAAGGATTAAAATCTGTGATCACTCTTACTTCTTACCAAAATTCAATTTTTTAGTGAAAACATAAACGTCCATTTTCTGGCTAAACGGAAGGCCCTAGGACAAAAAGGATTAAAATCTGTGATCACTCTTACTTCTTACCAAAATTCGATTTTTTAGTGAAAACATAAAAGTCCATTTTCTGGCTAAACGGAAGGCCCTACGGCAAAAAGGATTAAAATCTGTGATCACTCCTACTTTTTACCAAAATTCGATTTTTAGTGAAAACATAAAAGTCCATTTTCTGGCTAAACGGAAGGCCCTACGGCAAAAACGATTAAAATCTGTGATCAGTCTTACTTCTTACTAAAATTTGATTTT